TAACCTTTATTAATCCAAACGTGCAATATTCTTTCTGCATTCGAACCCCAGCCACAAGCACATTTCTCTGACCAAAATCAAAACCTACAATACAAGACTTTTACTCTCATTCACCACACAAGCATTCCCATCCCTCAAAAAATCTTTATGATGTTATCTTCCTTTTCCTTAGCCTATTTTCACCCAAATTCCAAGACCAAAAAGCCTATAAGGACATAATAATCTGAAGGCATAAATACATCCCAAACAAAAAATCATATGCATATCCCATCAGAAGATGAAAGGAAAGAATCACAGCTTACAGCATACCGCAGAAGGAAAACAAAAGCAAAGCCAAGACCACACAAATTTCCAAAAGAAAGATTTGAAACGAACAAAGAGCAAGGGCTTCAAATAATTAAAAGATAGAAGGTAAAAATCACACTTGGTTATTCTTTAAATTAAAAAAAGAGAGGTTTGAAGTGGTCTAAAATTACTTCCATCTGCATAACCTCTACAGTTTGGTAGAAACTATGCACTAAGTAACAAATTTCAGACTATAATATCGATGAATTTGAGAAAAACAAGGAAAATATGAAAATACCTATGTGAGATACTAAAAAAATTTACATGTGTAAAATCTGATTTTACGAATGTTCTTAGGCATGAACACCAGTGCATACATACATGTGTGTGTTATAAAATTGATGCATAAACAGCTGATTCCTCATGCTTAAAGTTAAGACAACAAATTGTGTCCAAAATCAGGCATGTGAAAGCTAGGGATAGCAGTATTTACATGTAACTGCATTATAAGTATTACAAAGAAGAAATTCCTCACCGACATGCGAGATAAAGACATGAAGCCTGAACTAGCTCTGTCCTGCGCCCCCTAGTGAAATTCCGTTCAAGGGCAATCTTCACAATGCAGATAAAAAAACATAAGGAAATTGACGAAAATATAAACAAAATAACAAATAAAAATATGAAACTTAGGCAGAACAAAAATACTTCATAAAAGCGCCTAGCAGTTTCAACGACATCATCGCTATAATCATCAATACTTAATGCATCCTTCATACATCTCATATCATCAAAAGCTGCATCACCAAATGAAATTAAAACCATAAACAAGACTCTTTTAAGGCATGTTGCAATAAGTATATTAATGCTAACATATTAAAACCATGACAACAAAAAATGCAATAACACATATCCAATTGAAATTTGAGCCAATGGAATTCCAATAATAGATGTCAACAAGTTTTGAAATTAGATCATCCAGAATTAGCAAACAAAATGTTGAGGAAATGTATCAATAATCTTTTATTGAAGGTAGAAAACGTGCAGGCATAGTTTCTCGCATACCATAACTGAAACTTTACAAACATACCTTTATCCAATGTCCTCCTACGTGAATCTGAAATATCTTGAACAGACTTTATAAAATTTCCAGATAGTTTGCTCTGAAAACAAAGTGAAATTAGTAGAAGAAATTAATTAAGAACAAAAACAGGAAAAAAAAAAACAACAACAAAACAAAGGAAACAAAATTTGAAACCCTCCCCCCCCCCCCCCCCCCTTCAATACACTTCACTTTAGTCTATTGAAACACATCCACCAATGAAACTCACACGCCAACTTCTCATTTTAATCCAATATTCAGCCAGTCATGCCATATTACGAAACTATAATTAGCTAGCAAGAAGTATTTTCTATGCAAACAACAATGTTCGAAGAGCTTAAACTTAAACCACAACGTTTCCACTAAATTTTGGCATGAATATTGCAACTTTTAATGAATTTCAGCACCCTTAAAATTTCCTTTTTTTTTATTCGAGGAAACCTCTTAAAGAAATTATTCCATATTTATTCATAATAATTATACAGTTTTTAAAAAGAAAGAAAAATTACCTGGCCAGCTGAATCCTTAACAAATTGCGGTTCAGATGAAAAATTGTATTCTTCCAACACCTTCCCACAAAAATTACAACACCTACAAAAAGAAATCGAGAGATAAACAAATAATGGATAAAGAAATTGAAAATTTATCAAAAAAATTAAAAAAAATTTATTTAAGAGCTAGAAAAAGTTCCTTACAACGGACCATCATAGAACCGTTCTCCAGAAACGTTTCTGGAACAATTATTACAGTAAACCATTCTCCTTATATTATGAATCTAACAAAAAAAAAAAAACCTTTCCTTCGTTTTCTCAGCAACCAAACAGAAAACTATGAACTGTCGTACTTTTCAAAATTTAAGTACGAAATCAAAGTTATCAATAGTAAACATTAAAAAAATTAGGTTAACAGAGATTTGTAATAATAATCGGAAGGAAAAATCGAAAAGAAGATCGGAGGTCGAAGGAGGGGAGAGTGAGTTGGAGAAGGGTTAAGCGAGGAGTAAGGGTTTAGTGGGAGGTTGATATTAAAAGTACCAAAATCTAACCGGGGGGAGTTTAAATAGTCATCGAATTTGGACCGGTAAAATTTGAACACGTGTCTAGTCCTGGTTGAGTTAATATTAACTAAAGTGACGTGGAGGAACGCCAATACCGGATTTGCGCGAGGGATGTAAATCATTGACGTGGAGTCGGTGGCAAGTTTAACACTGTTTCCAGTGGCGAGCCTAGCTTTTAAATTTAGCCCTGGGAAAAGGCTAGTTACTTCAGTTTTGGGTTTCCTTCTCTTGACTGCAGCGGGCCAACGGCTGGATGCATGTTGTTCTACAATTATTGCTTCTTCTTTTTTCAAGAAAAATAAGTAATATTATTAATTATATTTTGACCACAGAGGTTTTGTTGGAACGTGCTGGAAGAGAGTTTCTTCTTGTTAGATATACAAATTATGAATACTGAATACATATATTTTAACGATAAAGATATATTTTTTTTGTTTGATATAAGAAAAATAATAGCAATTTAGATTTGATTTAACAGTTTTTTTTAGAAAAATTAAAATTCAAGATTGAAAATTCTGTTTTTTTATCTCCATAATTAAAAATATAATATTTGAAAAAATTTTATTTTTATATTACCTTTAATTAAATTTTTATATTTTTATTTTTATTAAATTAATTTTTATAATTAATAGTTGATTAAATATTATTAGATAAAATATCTTTTATTATTTTATATCACGTTGTGCTAATATGGTGTACTAACGTATTATAGTAGATGGTAATGTGACATGATTATATGATTATATAGCATGTTTCATCTTTCATGTCAATGATGTATGAATATAAAATAATATATAATATTTTAACAAATGGTAATAAATTAAGCGTTAATCATAAGGATTTAACTTAATCAAAAATAAAAATTCGAAAATTTGATTAAATATAATAAAAAATAACAACTTGTTTAAATTTTTTAAATAATTTAAGAAGTTTTTAAGATATCATGTTAAAAAAATTGCAGTGAATGAATATATATACGTTATATAAGAAAACTTTTCTTTCAACTGGCATGCGCATGGGGAAGGAAGTGGTTCAAAACTTAAAAAGTAAATGCCCACCTACTGTGGCCAATAAGATTAGAACTGCTTAATGGAGTAATAATACTTAGAAGAATCCAAAGACTTAATGGAAAAGCTCTTTTGAATGTTTCTTCCTTTTTGAGGAGGGAAAGGGTCCATTTCCTTTTAGAAAATTTGGACTTACTGGAGTCATAGAATCATGAATTGGTTGCTTTTGCCCCCAAAATAGGAGCCATGTTCCTCGACTGGTTTTTGAATCCAACCACATTCGTCAAGAATGGCTTGAGGTCCTTGCCCGTTGATAAAGCCAACCACCGACCATTGCTCCAAGATGAGCATGCATTCAAATGTGGTTTAGTATTAGGGACAGGATCTAGGTAAAAGTTGTTTACATCAGGTTTAGTAAGTTTTTTTTCATTTGTTAACCACGAGGAAATCCTCCAGATCACTCCAATATCTCATGGCAAAGCATGCATGTGAGATATAATAATATGTATATATATATATATATATATAAATGTATAAAGATGGTCGAACAAGACAAGCAGTCATGCATGGAGGGCATCTACCATGAAACTTGATCATTAAATTACTCTTAACATTTGTGTCAGTTGCCGTACGTGAAGAGCATTAAAATTTTCCCCTTCCTCTGGTTACCATAAATGGCTAAAATGTGGAGCCTCTTCTCTCTTGAAATCTTTTCTTTTTATCCCAAGAGACTGACCGACTCAAAAGAAGAGAGCACAGCAACAAAGCAACGTTCATTTCTGCAAACTGTAGCTGTTGCATGCCCACTTGTGTTGATATGTATGCCTTTTCCCATAATAAATAAGAGAAACAAATCAAAAAACACATAGCCTATCTCAGCTACCAGCCGAAATGAACTGAAATTCATGAGAATCTTTATCTGTATATATATTCTTCTTGCTTTCAGCTAAATCTTGGGTTCTGCATAAAAAATTACCCTCTTAATTAATCCAATGATAATTATGAATCAACTGCTTCATTTCCCTCCCCCACTTTTTTCTTTTTTCTAAAAGCATGATGATAATGCATTGCACCTCTCGGCTTTGATCTGTGCATGTAAAAAGTCTAGATATATTCCTGTTCATAATAATTAACTTTTCTTTCTTTTACTGTTTTTATTTCTATTTTTTTAAAAAAAAAATAATTATGACTTGGTGAACCCTTCATTACGAACGTGGAACAAGCCCAAAAAAAGTGATGAATTAGTACAAACTCAGACAAAGAGATAAACACGAAAATTTGTTCCCGGTTTTCATACATTTATTATGACTCTTCATGATTCTTTCCTTCTGTTCAATGAAATTCACGCAAAAAATAAAAAAGAAAAACTCTTGCCAAATTCATGAACAGACAGACTTTTTTCCTAGTTTCATTTTGGTAAATATCTACAAACCCAAGCCCAATTGCAAGTTATAATAGTCTCAGCACCAGACAAGCTGTGGCTTACCTGATCCTGTTTGCACAATCCATCCAAACCAATCACACCCTCCAAGATTTTGCCACGTGTAACTTCGTCATACGTGTCATTGCAGACGTGTCCACGCTCCATTCTCTTTCATGCCTTCCCCCTTTTAAACCCCCCACCTGGCCACCATTTCCTTCACTTTTACTCGCAAAATAAAGAAGAAAACAACTTCAACGTCTCTCTCTTTTTCTCACTCTTTCTCTCTAACAAAAACTCTTTCTTTCTAGCTTTATTTGCCCAATCACTCCAAACCCAGATCAATTTTCCTCTGTATGATCTCATTGTTTCACCAAAAAAATGGCAGAGAATTGCACTAGAAAGCTTATAGTTGAAATCTGCAATGCCAAAAACCTGATGCCAAAAGATGGGCAAGGAACGGCCAGTGCTTATGCCATAGTTGATTTTGATGGTCAGAGAAGAAGAACCAAGACAAAGTTAAGAGATCTAAATCCAGTCTGGGATGAGAAGCTGGAGTTTCTGGTTCATGAGATAGAGTCAATGGCTACCGAGATATTGGAGATTAATCTGTATAATGACAAGAAAACAGGAAAAAGAAGCACTTTTTTGGGGAAAGTGAAGTTGGCTGGCAGTGTCTTTGTGAAAGCTGGAGATGAGAGTCTCGTTTATTACCCGCTGGAGAAAAGGAGTGTTTTTTCCCAGATTAAAGGGGAGATTGGAGTTAAAGTGTTTTATGTTGATGAAGAGACGCCTCCGGTAGCGGCTGAGGCTGCGGCGGAGGAGAAAGCAGGGGCAGCAGGGGAGAAGCCACTGGAGAATCCAAAGCCAGAGGAGGATAAGAAGGAGGAAAAAGTGGAGGAAAAGAAAGAAGAAGAGGAAAAGCCTAAAGAAGAATCACCCAAAGAAGAAGAGAAGCCAAATCCACCGCCGGCAGAGAATAGTAACCCTCAAGACGCCGCCCCAGCTGCTACTCCAGCGACAACTGCGCCTTCGGCAGAGGTAGAGAATCCACCACTAGCACATAAAGAGCCAATAAAGGCAGCAAAAGACAAGGCTGAAACAGGAAAAAGCACTGAACTTGTCATCAACGAGCTAGAACTCCGATCCCTCTCCGGTGACCGTAGCCACGCATACGATCTCGTAGACCGGATGCCGTTTTTATACGTCCGAGTTGTTAAAGCAAAACGAGCCAACAAAGAGCCAGCTTGTCCCGCTTATGCCAAGCTAGTTATTGGTACTCACAGTATCAAAACAAAAAGCCAAATTGATAAAGATTGGGACCAAGTTTTCTCTTTCGACAAAGATGGGTTGAATTCAAGTTCCTTAGAAGTTTCAGTTTGGACTGAAGAAGAGAAAAAAGAAGAAGAAAAAGAAGGAGCTACTTCTTTGGTGGAGAATTGTTTAGGAACGGTGTCGTTTGATCTACAAGAAGTGCCAAAAAGGGTTCCTCCGGACAGTCCTTTAGCTCCACAATGGTATAGTCTTGAATCCGAGAAGTCGCCTGGAAATGATGTCATGGTTGCTGTTTGGGTCGGGACACAAGCTGATGAAGCTTTCCAGGAAGCTTGGCAGTCGGATTCGGGTGGGTTAATACCCGAGACCCGAGCTAAGGTTTACTTGTCTCCA